TGCCAGGTTCGATCCCAGCTGCGGGCAATGCGCCTTGCGTTGGTTTCGACAGTGGTATCAAGAAAGCCGACCGTCCAGAAGCAATGGCAAACTACTGGACGTAAATTTGCCTAGAGAAACCACACAACAGCCAGGGGCTGTTAGGGTTGGTTCTGCAACGTCCTCTAGAGGATACGCAACAACCTTTATTCTATGGAGGTCCGTGTGTTGCTGGGGACAGATCGTCCATGTGTTCGCTTGGTGTGACACGATGCCATTTCTTAGATATTATAGTTAGTCTGAAGCATATCACTTTGCACGAAGCATGCCTGTCCTCACCGTCCTCATGCTTTCTAAAGCAGTTACAATAAGAATATTTGATAGGGAAAAAAGGATGTGGGCGAAGGGTGGGTCGTCAAAGGATCTAAAATCCCCGCCCCCTGCCCCGAGTTCCGTGTTCAATGAACACAAATTGGAAGATATACCGGGGACAGCAGAAGAGCGCTACGGGCTGGCTGGTCTGATGTGAAAGCGAGGTCTGTCTGCCAACGAACTAAAAAGAAGAGGGTAGAGGACAAAACATGTGCGTTACAAAACAATGGTTCCTCCCTGTTACATGTTGTTCGCTTAAAAAGAGCAAATAATGGTATTTGTAATACATTGACAAGAGACCAAGCAAGATAATGTTTTATAAGTAAGCACCGCTGGAACTACATCGGCCATGCACTCAGAACCGATGGATAAGACCAGACCCCCATCAAACCCTCATATGGAAGGGTAACGAAAAAGGAGAAGACCAAGAGAGACTTTGCGTAGAAACATCCTCAATGAAGGCTCAACCATGGGCTTTTAAAACATCCTCAATGAAGGCTCAACCATGGGCTTTTAAAACATCCTCAATGAAGGCTCAACCATGGGCTTTTAAAACATCCTGACCTACAACAGGTGGCAATAAACCGTCAGACATGAAGAGCTATGACCTCTGCCGTATGCGCCGCCCTAGGCTCAAGACGAGAGACTAACAAACTAATACATTGAACATACACTGATCACACAACGGTATTTATATAAGTGAGTAAAGTATAGGACCCTTTTCCACGCCTTTAGGTGTATAGGGCATATTGGGCTAGACCTATGTTTTTAAATACCAATCGGCAAAAAATGGGTGATGTGGTCAGCATCACACCGGCCGCCTTTACTTCCCAGGACTGCACCCGGTACTCACTGAAGGCTGGATCGACCTGGGAGGCAAGGTCATTTTTTAAAAAGTCCGGCTCCCCCCGGAAGCGAACCCAAGGTCTTCCGATCCGCCGCGAGCGTCTAGCAGCGCGACCATGCCGACTCCCGGTATTTACAATATAATACAATAAACAGGCCGACCAGCCAAAGGTATTTGCAACACCATAAAAATAGTGAGTTTTCTTGTAGGTTTCGGCGTCCAAGTTAGGGATTAGGTATGCTGGTGGTAGGCCCTCAGAGACTAAGAAGCATGTCCTAAAAGGTGACTTGTAAAGAGTTTGCTGCCATCGGATGTGCTGGGCCGAAAGGCATAGATATTCCGTCTTAGCTGTAAACCACAATACAAGGTGCCAATCGCGCTTTTAAAACAAACGGAACAGAAGAAGAAGAAGATGATGATGAAGAAACGAATAAGGATAACTGTAACGTAACGGTCCAAGCCACCCCTTTGTTTTGAACTGGTTTAGATACTGTTACCTTTATGCAGATGATGCTAAGTTTTAATATTTTTTTCTTTAAATATAGGTCTTTGGGTCAAGTTAGGTACTCCTATGTGTCCTAATTCTCTTGAGAACGTTATAGTTTTGCATTTACAAACGTAGGTGAGAGATTGATTGGTAATTATTGCAAAAAGTCCTATGGGCATATCACCGCCTGGGGCGGATGAATCTTCCCCGCCTTCTTTGAAAGAGACGCTTGTGTCAGAACTTTTCATAGTTCAGTTTCGTCTTTTTTAGGACGAAATTTTTTTTGTCATTTGAAGCCCCACCCTGGTTTTGCCAGGGGCCGCAATATAGGCAGGCCATAAATATGACCAATTGTTTGAACGTGGTTTCTGGGACCTCCCCACGGCGATCCTCATCCACATGGTGGCACTTTGTGTCATCGGGTGTTTATCGCTTGTTGGATGTCCTAGTGGGGTAGAAAGTCAAGTCAGAACTATTCTCGATCAAGTCTCCATAGTGAAAGGACACTTTTTTGTTTGGCTTCTATGCTTTTTTTCCCCCTGTCCTAACTGAAGAAACTGGGGCGTCATTACATTCATATTGCAGGGAATTGCCCAGAATGGCTGCTACTTGGAGCAACTCTTATTCTAGTCATATATAAATTGTCTTTATCTCCTCAGCGTCATTGCTATTAGTGAATTGTTTGACTTATCATTGTAGTGGTTATACTGATTACACAATGTGTTGTAAATCTTCCTTTCAGGGTTTAGTGTCCATCTTTCACTGTTCCAAGTTGTCCTGAGTGTTTGTATGGTATAACTATATTACATATATCACTGTGTTTCTTACATTGACTAGGATAGGAGAATTTCTAGTCTGGGGGCTTAATTGAAGTAGTGAGGAGGTCAGACCAAGTTGCGCCTAGGAATACTTTATGTTCTGTAGTTCCATAATTTACGTCGCCCCACCCCTGAAGTAGTTTGGATGATCATTGGAACTGCGGGATTCCGCCTAGACCGTTGCGAGCCAACATCTTTATAACGACTTCAGAGTGCTATTTGATTTATCAGTGAAAACCATTAGCAAGGCACGTGACACCAGCAGTATGTGACAAATAAAATAATGATATCTGCATTCATTGAATTCACACAATCAGCAAACTACTTTTCTCAACGATGCCTTCTACCTACCTGATTTTATCCCGGTCATAAAGCGAGCAGTAGCTGCCGTCCCAGATCAGACACGTGTCGTCGATGACCTTACCAAACAGATTGGGCGAGGGAATGGCCACTGGAAGTATACAAAAGTTAACCCTATATTACAACATAATTAATACACAATGGGGTCTTCACCGTAAACACAACATGAAGCCAATTATTTTTATTATTTTTTTTTTTTTTTAAACAAAATGTAAAAAATGTAAAAAAATAAAAAGCAAGAAGTGTAGGTCGTCTTACAAAATTACAATTACCATTAAAATGCTAATGACTTTGTGACGACTAACATTCATAGGAACATTCAAACATTTATCAGAAACCTCCAACAGATAATATACCATACATAAACTCATCCACCCATCCACACACACATACACACACACGCGCGCGCGCGCGCACATGAACGTGCTAACTTGGAGTACGTATTCTCACACAACAATGGAATATTGTGTTTATTCAAAACTGAAACATGGATGCCAGCATCAAGAGCATACAACATGAAAATCGAAACACCAAGAGGCAGGGGAAGACCAAGAAGAAGAAGGATTAAAGGAGTCACGGACAACTTGAGACTTCATAACATCATGGCATATGAAGCGACTGAGCGCGCCCTGGCTCGGTTGCCGATCATCTGATAGACTGCGACGCCTAGCGGCAAAAGCAAATTTTGACAAAAGAAGAAGAAGAAACATGGATTGTATACGCAATATTTCTTTGCATGGTTACGTATTTTTGGACCTTCTGGGAAACTACCTAGGAAATTTCGCAGCCAACAAGATGGGGTGAAAAAGCTGAAAAGCACAGAATTTTCTTTATACATTGATGGAATATGTATTGTTCTTTAGAATATAAGCTTTTCAGAAACTGTTGGGATATCTACTGCACACACAATATTGAAATCATTACTGCTTATACAACATTGGAATATATCCGGCGTATTTAACATTTGCATATGCACTGTACACGCAACATTTGAAAATATATTTTTACCCACAACATTGAAGTACGTATTCTAACACAAAATTATTATATACACAGCACAGCAAGACTGAAACTGAAATATCTATTGTTTCACAACAATAGAATACCTGTTGGTACACATCGCTGAAATACTTGCTCTCGCATACAAAATTGGAATATTTGCTGACACACAAATTAGTAATATTTGCGGTCACACAACATTAGAATACTTGCTGTCACACAGCATTGGAATAATTGCTGCCACACAACATTGGAATACTTGCGGCCACACAACATTGAAATACTTGCTGCCACACAACAGTAGAATACTTGCTGCCACACAACATTGGAATACTTGCTGCCACACAACAATAGAATACTTGCTGCCACACAGCATTGGAATACTTGCTGCCACACAGCATTAGAATACTTGCTGCCACACAACATTAGAATACTTGCTGCTACACAACATTAGAATACTTGCTGCCACACAACATCGAAATACTTGCTGCCACACAACATTAGAATACTTGCTGCCACACAACATCGGAAAACTTGCTGCCACACAACATAAGAATACTTGCTGCCAGACAACATTGGAATACTTGCAGCAACACAACATTAGAATACTTGCAGCCACACAGGATTAGAATACTTGCTGCCACACAACATCGGAACTCTTGCTGCCACACAACATTATAATACTTGCAGCCACACAACATCGGAATACTTGCTGCCACACAACATTAGAATACTTGCTGTCACACAACATTAGAATACATGCGGCCACACAACATTAGAATACTTGCAGCCACACAAGATTAGAATACTTGCTGCCACACAACATTAGAATACTTGCTGCCACACAACATTGGAATACTTGCTGCCACACAACATTAGAATACTTGCTGCCACACAACATCAGAATACTTGCTGCCACACAACATTAGAATACTTGCAGCCACACAACATTAGAATACTTGCTTCCACACAAAATTGAAATACTTGCTGCCACACAACATTAGAATACTTGCAGCCACACAACATTAGAATAATTGCTGCCACACAACATTAAAATACATGCTGCTACACAACATTAGAATACTTGCAGCCACACAACATTAGAATAATTGCTGCCACACAACATTGGAATACTTACTGAACACAAAACAGAACATAAAGAGGCTTGTAGCGAAACCACGATCTTGGGGATCGACAATCCTTGACGGAAGAGAGAAAAGGCTTGTTAAAACAGTTGGTCTGTTAGTCTGCACATCGATTGTTTGCTTGCTTGCTATATTTAAAAAAATTTAAAAAATTGACCATACTCAGCTCTGCTCTCTCAAGATGTTGACCACCCCCCCCCCACCCCTGAGTGCCGACTAGTATATCTATAAAAGTCTGCCCCAAAATGACCAAGCGTGGACAACGGTAATTTACTTTTACTTTACCTTCAACCTTGCTGAAAACGTTCGGTTATAATTGCATCTGGTTTTATTTGCGCCTAGTTCAAAGCCTTCAATTATTTGCTGTACCGCAAGTTGTAGTTTATTGTCCCTAGCCATGTAACACAAATATTTGTCTGTCTGTCTGTCTGTCTGTCTGTCTGTCTGTTTGTGATATAATCAATTTCAATTTTCGAGTTCGGACGAAAAGGTCCGATTTGAGGAATTGCAAGAAAAAATGTATGAAATTGGGTTGGAGTGGGAAATAGGTGCAGAAATTTAATAAGATAGGAAGAAATTATTGAAAATGAACAGAACAGTACGAAAGAAAGTAAAAAAGAATTGAAATAGAGGAAGGAGAAGTAGATATTGTCGAAGGAGCAGCCGAGAATATCATTACTGTGTTGCCAGATAACGAGGCTGAATACACATCAAACTGTGGGAAACAGGTGCCCACAGAAAAGATGGACTCATCATAGCTCGTTGAGTCCCAGAGGGTTTAGAATCCCAGGCCCATGGGTGGTAAAGAGAGACGTAAAATGTGCGCATCTTGCGTTTACTGGGCTTTTAGGTAGAAACCTATAAACGTATGATGCGCTCCTTGGGACTCAAAGAGTTAAGACATAGCCACTTACGGAATAACAGTGCTGAGTGACATCAATCGAGCTCTAAACTACAACCTCTTCTTCCCTAAAGGAGGCCATTGGAAGTAAAGCATGTTCATGGCGATGATGCTACTGCTGACGATGATGATCATGAATGCACATTCTACCTTATGATAAGAAGCCGCCTGGGTATCATGCTCATGGCACTGCACATGGACTGCACCCCGTGGAGACAGGCGTACAGGATGAAGCTCCATCGGCAGTCGGTTGCACACAGTCCTGGGGTCAACGTAGATCCCAGTGTTGAGTTGAATAGTGAACAGTCGGTGAAAATCTGCAGCAAGGATCTGACAAGGGTGATCTATCTATCTATCTATCTATCTATCTATCTATCTATCTATCTATCTATCTATCTATCTATCTATCTATCTATCTATCTATCTATCTATCTATCTATCTATCTATCTATCTATCTATCTATCTATCTATCTATCTATCTATCTATCTATCTATCTATCTATCTATCTATCTATCTATCTATCTATCTATCTATCTATCTATCTATCTATCTATCTATCTATCTATCTATCTATCTATCTATCTATTCTATCTATCTATCTATCTATCTATCTATCTATCTATCTATCTATCTATCTATCTATCTATCTATCTATCTATCTATCTATCTATCTATATCTATCTATCTATCTATCTATCTATCTATCTATCTATCTATCTATCTATCTATCTATCTATCTATCTATCTATCTATCTATCTATCTATCTATCTATCTATCTATCTATCTATCTATCTATCTATCTATCTATATCTATCTATCTATCTATCTATCTATCTATCTATCTATCTATCTATCTATCTATCTATCTATCTATCTATCTATCTATCTATCTATCTATCTATCTATCTATCTATCTATCTATCTATCTATCTATCTATCTATCTATCTATCTATCTATCTATCTATCTATATCTATCTATCTATCTATCTATCTATCTATCTATCTATCTATCTATCTATCTATCTATCTATCTATCTATCTATCTGTCTATCTATCTATCTATCTATCTATCTATCTATCTATCTATCTATCTATCTATCTATCTATCTATCTATCTATCTGTCTATCTATCTATCTGTATCTATCTATCTCTGTCTATCTATCTATCTATCTATCTATCTATCTATCTATCTATCTATCTATCTATCTATCTATCTATCTATCTATCTATCTACCCTGAGTACATATGTCTATCGTCCCTTTGTCTGCGCTCAGAATAAATGTCCTTTTGGCACAAGGAAAACTGTTTCTGCCAGTTATATTGTATCATCTCTGATCATTTTATTTATATTAGCTTGCTTTTCAATATCGACCAGCTTCAAACCTTCCCGCAAATTCTCGTACAGCCAGGACAGGACGGGAACAATTGTATCATTTCTGTCCTCCGAAATATATATCTATCTACCCCAATAGATATAGTTTGTCTGTCTAAAATATCCAGAGGTACCAACCTTGCCATCTACATTGGTACAGCCAGCATAGCATGGCGACAGGTACATCTTGTCGTCTGCCCCACAAGAGATGAGATTCTGTTCATGGTTACAGTCGCACTGACTAATGTTGCTGATAGGCCGGCCGCTGCAAAAGAATAGGAAATGAGTCAGATATGTAAAACGGACGTGCAGGTGGGTTCCGGAGCAAGACTGAAGTCCAGAAGTGGACGAACAACCAGAACTTTATGATGGAGTTTAGAGCCAGTAAATGATAAGAAGAAGAAGCAGTAAAGAAAAGGTAAAGTCTGTTCTCAAGCCCTTATCCTATCGCACGCTTGCTGTGTGCAGTATTTCTGAACAGCAATGAGTAGAAAAAGAAAAAAAAAGAAAAAAAAAAAAAAAGAAGAAGAAGAAGATGAAGAAGAAGAAGAAAAAGCAGAAGAAGAAGAAAAGAACAAGAACAAGAACAAGCACAAGAAGGAATAATAATCATAATAATTTTAATAATAATAATAATAATAATAATACTAATAATAATAATAATAATAATAATAATAATAATAATAATAATAATAATAATAATAATTTTAACAAGAAGAAGAAGAAGAAGAAGAAGAAGAAGAAGAAGAGAATTGACATCACAGCACAAGGTACATTCCCATAAGCGCTCTGTCCCTATCTTCAGCAGCCAGCGAAGAGTTCCGATACTAATGGTGCCAGTTGCATTTTGATTAAACGTCCGTTTTGCCTTTCCTCTGAGTCTCGAGCATCTGCCAGAACCTCTCGTCACTCCCAACTGCAACAATCTCACCAGACTGTGGTGATCCATCTGCTCCTCCAATCTGTACAAGCTCTCCCACAAGGCACTAACCACGTCTGCCTTATCGTGCATCAGTATTCCACCAAGCTGTGCAGAACCAGCCAGTCTGTCTGTCTGTTCATTTCCCAACACACCGGCATTCCCTGGTGAAAAAATCCAGACAATACTATTCATCCGTGTCCTTCGCAGCATGGCCTATCCTGATCTTTCTCAGCATGCTTTCCGAGTCAGTTACAATCACAATGTGTGTGTGTGTGTGTGTGTGTGTGTGTGTGTGTGTGTGTATCGAGTTCTCTAGCCAGCGGAAAGCTGCAGTGACCGCCTCCACCTCTATTCTTAAGCTGGATGTTGTGGTATCATATGCTAGGCTCTCTTGCATCAAACTTCGACCATTACCTTTTGCTAAGAAACCCCAAGCACTTCTATTGCCTCTTGACACTGAACCGTCTGTGTAAATGATCAAATCTTTTGAGCGAGCATTATCTTGAATTATTTGCTGAGTTTCCACCTCTGTGGCACCTGCTGGCCATCTCTGTAATCCCGGCTCAGTGTGATTGTGACCCTACACAAGTCTGACTATTCAGGTGGCACTTTGACCCACTCGTCTCCTCTAATGTTCTCAAGGAATCAAACCTGTCTGATTGTGTCTTCTGCCTGATCCATCCATGACTTCATTCTTATCAGCCGCTGACACTTAACTGCACCCAGAGCTTCATGCAGAGGATGGTCTATGGCTGCAGCTACCCTGAAATATGACTTCGCCTGCTGCACCTTGTGCCTACCTGCAGCAGTGGGCAATCCGAGGATGTACTGCATACACACCACTGTGGTGTCTCTGGTTCAACCGAGTATGACCCGCATTGCTGCGTTATGTATGCGCTCTAGTTTGTCCATCTGGCTATTTGAGACGGTAAGCATTCCCAGGCAATAATCAACCACTGACAGGATCAGGTGCTGATATAGTGTGAAAAACATTCTCAGCTCTATGTCAATTTCAGCCATAGTATTAAGTGCACCAAGTCCTTTTTGGCATCCTGTACCATATATCGTGAGACTTAGGACAGTAGCTTTAGCGATCCTGTTGTCCAAAGAACACCACAAAACAGACCCCTTTTCCGGGTGGACAACAGCCTTCATATCTGTACACCACTCAGTTACCCTGTCTACTGTCGCTTATAGCTCCCAGGCTGTTTGTTCCCCCTCTTCTCCCTGCCTATATGCAAGTATATCATCCGCAAAAGTCAGTATCCTTCCAACTCCTGATCCCTGTGGCAGTCCTAGGGTCAAACTGTATGGTTCTGAGGTCCATGAGCCAAGTCGAAGAGCAACCCGACGTGAATACAGGACAGCTGCAACCCAATTCATTATCCATGGACTGACCTCCTTCTCCTGCAGTGCAGTCATCAAGATGTTGTATCTTACTTTGTTATAAGCATCCTCGATATCCAGTGCTACCGTCATAGTTTCCTGTCTGTTCTGGAACCCTTCATAGACGTCAAAAACAAAAGTGGCCACATTTGCCCATGTGTCCTTTCCTGACCTGTAGCTTCCCAGACCGATTGGGAGAAGCTTCTCCATTTCAAAAAATTCTTGCAGCTTTACAGCAAATATCTTCTCTAAGACCTTCCCAAATGTGTTTTGTAAAGTGATGATTCTAAAGCCACTGAGCTTTGAATGATCCTTTAAAGGTTTTATTAGAGGCATTAAATAGCTGTGCACCCAGTGCTGCGGTACTGATGCTGTCTTATTGCTCTGGTTAAAACAGTCAGCTATCTCCGCCAGGTCCACATCGCTCAAAGCCTTCACGTGGCCATACCTGACCACAACAGGCACTGGTGCAGTTTGCTTTCCCTTTTGAAAATGTGTTTGATATCTTCTACTCGTATCATGTCTTCATAATGCATATTTTTTAAGGTGCTAGCTAACACCTCTCTAACTGCATCCCTGATGTCTACATCATTATGATCTGTCTGAGCTATAAACCTATGGAGAAAAACCTCCCCTTTCTCCTTGTCTGTTGTCACACGCACACTATCGTCTCTACAAATTGTTCCGTCATAGGCCGATCTTTTCTTTGCATTTTCCTTTGCAGTTTGAAGAATTTCCCCAATGTTTTATCGCCTCCCATATCATTCACAAAAGTTTCCCACTTTGCTTTTTTGGCCTCTGCAGCACAGTGCTTGAAAACCTCCACCTTATCTTTTTTCACATTCTCCGCCATCTCTACTTCCTCTTGTGAGCTTGAGGGTGTCTGTCAAACTTTCTTTAGCTGCTTCACTGCGGCTCTCTTTGCCTTCCACGCCTGTTCTTCTGGAGTCCACTAAGGGGGCTGTAGAAAATTAATTCTGGCATTAGGTCTGTTGCATGCTTCCTGTCTGAGGCGTCCAAGATGTTGTTGGTCCACCTATACTGGAAGGTCTTGCGTGCTCTCCCAGCCTTAACCCTCCTGGGTTAAGAAATCAGGACTGAACATGGTAGGGGATCACCCCCATTGTCATATAGGACAGTCCATTTAACATCTAAAACCGACGACTGAGAGACCAATGTCACGTCAATGGCTGTGTCTGCATCGCCAGACCTCATTGCCATTCTAGTCGGCCTCCCATCATTGATGCAGACCATATCAGAGTCACCCATGGATTCTGCTAGAGCAATTCCCTGTCGGTTTTCTCCACTGCCGTCCCATTCTCTGTTCCGTTGAAATTCCCACATATAAGTAATTTATCACCTGGTAACTCCTCCAATTCCTTGAGCCAGCTCCATTGTTACCCTCTGATAAAACAGTCTACCGTGGCATACATATTTATGAGGTTCCAACTTAAACCACCAATCTCCACCTGTATCCCTTGAACCTCTCTTCCACTGTGGTTCCACTGGCTCAAGTCAAGCAACACATGCTTCACTCCTTCCTTTACCACTAGACCTTGTCCGTGTCTCTCCTGTCCAAAAGGGTTTATATAACTGACGTACCCCGGGCAATGATATCTGTCTATATTTAACTCTTGGAGCATGATAACATCAAAATAAAAAATCAACCTCTCCTGTACAGGACCTCTCTGCCTAGCACTCCGACAGTTACATTATCATACTCTTACATGATTGAAGCCCAATCTCTCCGCTTTTCGTTTTGTTCTCCTAGCATCTGCCCTTCTATATCTATGCTTTCTCTCCCCATTCCCTCGTCGTCTCCTCCTCACTCTCTCTTCACGAACTGCTGAAAAATGTGTCAAGCGCAGAGCATGTTCCCCGTATCTCCGGCGACGATTTCTATGTATATTTTTAAAATCCATAGAAGAAGAAGAAGAAGAAGAAGAAGAAAAAAAAAAAAGAAGAAGAAGAAGAAGAAGAAGAAGAAGAAGAAGAAGAAGAAGAAGAAGAAGAAGAAGAAGAAGAAGAAGAAGAAGAAGAAGAAGAAGAAGAAGAAGAAGAAGAAGAAAAAGAAGAAGAAGAAGAAGAAGAAGAAGAAGAAGAAGAAGAAGAAGAAGAAGAAGAAGAAGAAGAAAAAAGAAGAAGAAGAAGAAGAAGAAGAAGAAGAAGAGGAAGAAGAAGAAGAAAGAAGAATAAGAAGAAGAAGAAGAAGAAGAAGAAGAAAAGAAGAAGAAGAAGAAGAAGAAGAAGAAGAAGAAGAGAGATAAGAAGAAGAAGAAGAAGAGGAAGAAAAGAAGAAGAAGAAGAAGAAGAAGAAGAAGAAGAAGAAGAAGAAGAAGAAGAAGAAGAAGAAGAAGAAGAAGAAGAAGAAGAAGAAGAAGAAGATGAAGAAGATGAGAACGAGGACGAGGGAAAGAATAGCAAGCATAAGAAGAAAAAGAACCAGAACAAGAAGAAGAAGAACTTACATTGCCCCGTCAGCTCCATACACAGGCTCATTGTTACAACCGATGATGAAATAGAAAGGTATGATGATCAAAGTGAACAGGTAAGTGCAGACGATGATGTACATGTACCCCATCCTGGTCTTGACTTTACTGGTCAACCACGAGCTGATGATGGTTCCCACGATGTGACCCAGTGCTAACGTTATTCCTAAGACGAGATTACAGTTATTGTTAGCACTGTTGATTAGCCCAGCAACATCACTGTAATGTCTGTCGGGACATAGTCGGGAACGAAACAAAGTGACACAATAAAGAAATAGAAGACCCATGCCTCCGTATACAGCAGCACCAGGTATATACAAGGAAGAAGCAACATCAATTAAACCGTCTAGAACAACACAACAAAATGGAACCAAAGGAAACCATATTCAAACTAATCATACTCAATAAAGATCGCAACTATAGGCATCAGCTACAAAGCTGAAAAAGTCTGAACGAAATCGAATTATCTTTTTCTTTTACAAGCAGCAAGCAGCAAGCAAGCACTGTAATGTCTTCTAATGTTATTTGTCTATCAAGTATTCCTTTTTCTTTTTCGGAGATCTTCATTGTTTTGAAAAAAATAAATTTGTGTTTCTATGTTAGCTGGTTCTGCTGTGTGTAATATTGTTCCATTAGCGTCTGTGGCTTAGGCTTTGCGATCTCGCTTTGTAATGCCGGGGTGGGGGGTTTAATCCCAGCTGCAGATGGTTTGTCTTGCGTTGGTTTCGTCGGTGGTACCGCGAGCCGACTGCACAGAAGGCGATGGAATACAACTAAAAGTAGAATTGCCTAGAAAAGCCACAACAACTAAAAAAATGATAGGGTTGGTTCTGCAACGTAATGTAAAGGATACACAACTAACTTTAATATTGTTCAAAGATGTGTGCTATCTATGTTTGGTCTGTTTGTATGTTACGATGTATGTCTATTATTTTGTGTATCTATACGTTTGGTTGTACATTTTATTCTTTTTGTGTATCTTGTTGACTTAGTATTTTGTGCTGTGATGTGTTGAAAAAACAAAGTAAATGACCCTTTTCCACGGCTTTAGGCTTATAGGGCATATAGGGCTAGAGCTGTATTTTTTATAGACCTATCGGCAAAAGATGGGCGATGGTCAGCATCACGCCGGCCGCCTTTACTTCCCAGGACTGCAGCCTGTACCCACTAAAGGCTGGGTCGACCTGGAAGCCAAAGTCATTTTTGAAAAAACGACCTGGGAGCTAAGGTCATTTTTGAAAAAAAAAAGTCTGGCTAGGGAGCGAGCCCACGACCTTGCCATCCGCGACGAGCGTCTAGCAGGTCGGCCACAGCGACTCCATGTGATGTGCTGTGGTGTGTAAATATTGGCTCTTACTAGTTCTCCTTGATATTTACGTTGTTTTAGTTCTTTTAATTCCACTTTTAGTGCGTCTAAGCGTGCTTCATCTTCATCTGTGTTCGTTATTGCAGCCTTTAGGATTCCTACTTTTTTTAACTCCCGTCTGTGCATGCAGGATGCGTATGTTTTGTTGTGTGTGTGTGTTCTAGGTTTAATGAAACTGTTGAGAGTAGGCTTATATCTTCATAATGTGACTAGAGAGTTCTAGGTCTTCGTAATGTGAATGGAGAGTTATGAGTCTTTGTAATGTGACTGGAGAGTTCTAGGTCTTCGTAATGTGACTGGAGAGTTCTAGGTCTTCTTAATGTGACTGGAGAGTTCTAGGTCTTTGTAATGTGACTGGAAAGTTCAATGTCTTCGTAATGTGACTGGAGAGTTCTAAGTCTTCGTAATGTGACTGGAGAGTTTTAACTGGAGAGTTCTAGGTCTTCGTAATGTGACTGGAGAGTTCTATGTCTTCGTAATATGACTGGGGAGTTCTAGCTCTTTGTAATGTGACTGGAGAGTTCTAAATCTTATGTAATGTGACTGGAAAAGTTCTTACTGAATTTTTTTGATTTCCGCAGACTGAAAAACAAATACTCTTCCCCTCACGATCCGAGCCAGGAGATGAGAGAACCAGTGCACTTACTCACCTGACACCAGGGCAACATCGGACATAGGCACGTTGTATTCATTAGCCATGTAAGCACTTCTGAACACCGACGTTCCGGAGATGGGTATGGATACCAAGGCGACATCGACTAATAGAAGTATGAACACTGGTTTTCTCAACACACGGTAGAGGGCTTTTGGGAAGTCTAGATGAAATAAAATGCATATGTTTAGTAAGAACTTATCTGAATACTATGCTAATAATACTAATAATATTAATATTAATAAGTATTAATTATAACAGAATAGAGAGAGAGAGAGAGAGAGAGAGAGAGAGAGAGAGAGAGAGATAGGAAGGTAGGTAGGTAAGTTGGACCCCACCAGGACATCAAACAAGCGATAAACACCCGATAACACAAAGAGCCACCATGCGGATGAGGATCACCCGTGGAGAGGTCCCGGATATCCCTTTCAGCTGTTACGCCATATTTAAGGCCCGACTATATTGATAGAGAGAGAGAGAGACATAGACAGAGAGAGAGAGAGAGAAAGAGAGAGAGAGAGAGAGAAAGAGAGAGAGAGAGAAAGAGAGAGAGAGAAAGAGAAAGAGAGAGAGAGAGAAAGAGAGAGAAATAGAGAGAGAAAGAAAAAAAGCAAGAAAGAGAGAGAGAAAGAAAGAGAGAGAAAGAAAGAAAGAGAGAGGGAGAGAAATAGATGTAGAGAGAGAAAGAGAGAGCGAGAGAGAGAAAGAGAGAGAAAAAAAAGAGATAGAGAGAAAGAGAGAGAGAGAAAGAGAGAGAGAAAGAGAGAGAGGAAGATAGAGAGAGAAAGAGAGAGAGATAGACAAAGAGAGAGAGAGAGAAAGAGAGAGAGACAGAAAGAGAGATAGATAGATAGAGAGAAAGAAAGAGAGAGATAGATAGAGAGAGAGAAAGAGAGATAGATAGATAGAGAGATAGAGAGAGAGAGAGAGAGAGAGAGAGAGAGAAAGAGTCCCAAAAACCACGTTCAACCCCTAGGTTATATTAAGACCCCAGCTGGGGTGGGGTTTTAAAAAAAGTCCTACGTTGTGAGAGAGATTAGCCTCGGTAATAAAGGTTAGTTGCGAATCCTTTACAGGACGTTACAGAACCAACCCCGACAGCCCCTGGCTGTTGTGTGGTTTTTCTAGGCACATTACGTCCGGTAGTTTGCCATTGCCTACTGGACGGTCGGCTTTCTTGATACCACTGTCGAAACCAACGCAAGGCGCGTGGCACGCAGCTAAGATCGAACCCTGCATCCCGGCATAACGAAGCGTTCGCATCGACTTAGCCACAGAGTCAACAGCCATTTTAATACTGACTAAAAAAAGTTATAAGACATAGAAGGTGGAGCTATATTGGGCTCATCCTGAGAAGAAACGACCGGAGAATAACCAGTCCGGCACTACAGTGGGAAAAAAAGAGATTGATGAAGTGAGGACTTCTAAAAGATACCCTAAAGCGAACGTTGATGAGTTGAGTTGAGTTGAGTCAAGAATTGACATCACAGCACTCGGGGCATTCTCATGCATGGTCCGTCCTCATCTTCAGCACCCAGCGCAGAGTACGAATACTGATGGTACCGGTCACAATCGCGTTATATGTAAGTCTTGCCTTTCCTTTGAGTGTAGCGTGCCGGTCAGACCCTCTGGTTACACCCAGGTGCCTCATTGTCTCCAGGCCGAACGTTAATGAGACATGTCAAAGGTACTGGACTGTATTCTATATATGTATGTATATTGAGGTTTGTAAGTATGTGTGTGTATTGTATTTATATATGTTTCTTGTAAGTATGTAGATTTATGTATATGGGTGTATATGTGATTGCATATGAATGCACGTGTGATTGTTGGTGTGTGTGTTTTCATTTCATGCTTACCTTTGAGCATATCTTTCAGACTGTCTTTCTTCGGTGTGATGGGCTGCTCGAAGATTAGGTCTCCAGCCAAGCTTACTTTCCGTTCTGTCGGCCCAACCACTGGTGGGAACAAACTAGGCCTGCGTTGAAATAGATGGATTACTTTGTGGGACGAGTTGAATGGCACAGAACAAACATTCAATGACTGAACACAGACCCTTTTGTGTGCAATCTGTTATGTAAACATTATCCATAATATGCAGCTGTCCTATGCACGTGTGGAATGTTTCCATGCCCTATGTTTTTTTAAGGGAAACTTTCAGACCCATTGCTAATCAGCATGCATGTTAAAAAAGTCAACCAATGATTGATTTGCTGAAATTGGATGTGTCGGGCAGAAAAGTGCAGCTATCACAGCTACTCTGTAAACCACAACTCAACATGCTGAACGCTTTTCTAAAGGCTACCGCAGAAAAGAACATTATCTGTCATAAGATACTACGTTTGAGACTAGAGGCCGCGTTAGCGCAGTCGATAGGAAACTCGCTTTCAAATCCAGCTGCGACTAGCTGCTGCCCAGAGCCGGTGTTTGAAACCGCCCGATTCCTGGGGTTTACCCAGCCTCTAGGTAATGGGTACCAGAGTTAACACTCTGGTGTGAATGGAGGAACGTAGCTGTAGCTGCAGAGTTGCGTGCGGACGGCGACACAGGTGGATAGTTTCTTATCAGCTATTTGTACTGGTGGCAGAGCACTTTGTTTTTTAAACTGTGTGCAATGACGCTGGTTTACATCTCCCGACTTTACCTTTAGACTGGGCTGGATTCAGCTGCCCTGGAGCTTGTGACGAAAACTTTACTGAGATAAGGAGGTGGTCCATACTTGCTGCGCTTCTTCTTTTCCATTCTTTTCGTTCTTCCTGGCAGTTGTTTTCAATTGAGAAGTTCTCATGGCTCTATGAAGTATGTGGCGAGACTCATCTATTCCAGACAGCTTTAGTTTCCATTGAAATGCCAACCAGCCATACTTGGAGTCTCTCTACTGTATGTAGAGAGCCTGTCTGCAGCATATATTCAGTATTCTGTAAGGCCCATCCTCGTGGGAAAGTTCTGAATCCCAAATCTTGAACTTCTCGTACATAGGGCTACTGAATCTAGACACTTTTACTGATAGCTACATCTATACCCACAGTTACATATAAACTCAGTTACGTCTATACTAAAGGTTACATCTGTACCCACAGTTACATATAAACTCAGTTACGTCTATACTAAAAGTTACATCTGTACCCACAGTTACACCTATAACCAGTTACATCTATACCCACAGTTAAATATATGTACCCACAGTTACCTTCATAGCCAGTAAAATCTATACCCACCGTTACGTCTATACTAACAGTTAAATCTATACCCACATCTACTTCTGTACCCACAGTTACATCTATAACCAGTAACATCTATACCCACAGTTACGTCTATACTAACAGTTAAATCTGTACCCACATCTACTTCTGTACCCACAGTTAAATATATGTACCCACAGTTACCTTCATAGCCAGTAACATCTATACCCACAGTTACGTCTATACTAACAGTTAAATCTGTACCCGCAGTTACGTCCATAGCCAGTTACATCTAAACCCACAGTTGCATCTATACCCACAGTTACGTCTACACTCACAGTTACATCTATACCCACAGCTACTTCTGTATCCACAATTACATCTGTAAACAAATTTACATCAGTACCCACAATTACATCTATACTCACTGTTGTTTCCAGAAAAGATATACAACCGCACGTAAAGTATATTAGTAAGATTCACAATATAACAAAAACAAACAAAACATGAACGTTGCGGCTATGGAGCAAATCAAACAATACTACACAAATACACAAATACACAATACACATATGGACAGGTCCCGCATACAGGTCTGTGACAAGAGACCGTATCAAAGTGGGAATCAGACGCGGGACGCAACCGATTCTTGACTAGAATGTCCTTGAGGTTACGGGCATGCCTGTAGGCCACTAGATGAGGTTCAGAGAAAACCGTGCTGGTGGCAGGGTCGCTTTAAGGATGGAGAGATGCCTGAGGAAATAACCTCACTCACTGTTGTATCCGGACTTTTGGTACCCCATGAATAGATGAGTTGATCAGGAAATCTTCAACGACCAGAGAACGAAACTTACCTTCGACTGCTAGAAGAGAAGTGACTTTCTTTAGAAGCCCTCCTCTGCTTGGACCCTACGTAGGACTCTGTCCTATCGTGTTGGTTATGTAGACTGTAGTGTCTTCGCTTGCTCCCTGACTGATCGGCTGCAGTCGGTTCCTGGATATCCAGGGATTTGCTGTGTATAATAAACAAAAAGAAAGTTTGTATACATCATATTAAACTAAAACAGGTAACGACACGAGAAACAAATGAGTTGAGAAAAGGAGGACGTTCAAGAATAAACCCTAAAACGAAAATTGATGACAAAGAATAAGGGTCCTAGGATGGATTCCTGCTATGTTATGAACATGAACGCACAGGGTAGACCCTACCGGAGGAACAGACTGTGAGCCCTATATGACATATAAAGGCCTAAAAAGATGATGATGGTTTTAAACCAGGCACTGGGTACTACCAGTGCCAAACACTTGGACGCTGCCAAAGACTCACCTGCATAAAATGAAGGCCCTTGTGATAAGAAACGCCGCTGGTCAGTGACCTAGTGAGAGATGAGACTGTCAAAACAGATTGTGGTAACGTCAAATTACACAGAGCATTTGTGAGAAGCATAAGATCAGATGACTTAGGTCAGCATGTTAAAATGCAACTAAACGGATCTAAAGGCACCATAGAGAATGGAACTCTGCGCTGGCTGCTAAAAGTGAGTACAACGCGTTTACGGGAATGTCCCGAGTGCTGTTATGTCAGGTTGTGACTTAACGCAACTGAATAAATTTGTGGTGAAATCAAGAGGGCATAACAGAAAAGACGGATTTTTGAAAAGAAAGATATTATTTATCATCCCCGAACTGAACTGAACTGAATTTCTACCCCACCAGGACATCACATAAGCAATAAACACCAGATGACACAAAGTGCCACCATGTGGATGAGGATCGCCATGGAGAGGTCCCAGAAACCGCGTTCAGACATTTGGCCATATATATGGCCTGCCTATATTGCGGCCCCTGGCAAAAGCCAGAGTAGGGCTTCAAATGACAAACAATTTCGTCCTAAAAAGGACGAAATTGAACATCCCCGAAGAACAATCTCCGGTGACACGGATCCTGACAAATGACAGCAAACTGTTTCTCCGCACACTCTTACCGGCAGAAGTGGATGATGATGATTTTAAGGATGATGGCCATGACTATGAGGACGACAATGATGGTGTTATTAATGATAATGATGATGATGATGATGATGATGATGATGATGATGGGGGTAGTAGTGGTAAACCCTGAGACATGCACGTTTGAGAATTATGCACAAAGTCTGTGCGTCTTGGCCAGACTTATTTCATGTTTGTGTCTTATTTGCTTAAACATTTGCCTGCTTGCTGTTTCTGCTTACCGTCTTCTCATTTTCGTTCCTAACTTATGTCTGTGTGTAATATTACATAATTTTTGGGGGTCATCTTTTAATATTTTGATATGCGTATTGCTTATTCTGTTTGTTTGCCGGATGTCTACAGCATCCAGATCCTTATTTTTGGGAGATACAGATGCTTCGAGCAACGTGACAAGCGTCACTGAAAAGGTCACGGGTAGTGAGAATACTTTGGATCTTTTATCCAGGCCACGCCGGCATGGTGGGTAATGAACAGGCAGACAGAATGGCTGGATTTGCAGCACTGGGTGGTGAATTGACACATTACAAGGTAGATGTGGTCAAGGCCCTCTAGGAACAAGCAACGTAATCAGTAGTGATAAAATATTATTATGGCCTGAAGATAATGAGGCATCTGGGTGTAACCAGTGGGTCTGGCCGGCTCACTGTCCTCAGAGGAAAGGCAAAACGGACATGTCACCAGACTGTAACGGTTACCATCAGTATTGGAACTTTGCGCTAGCTGCTGAAGATGAGGACGGAGCATGCATGGAAATGCCCTGAGTTCTGTGATGTCAGTTCTTGACTTAACTCAACTCAACTTATATCTAGGTCTACATATTTATCTGACTGTCTGCTGCATCATCCGTGTATTGCATTTAACTGGTTAAAAGTGTTCGTAATTACCCCACACCAGTTAACGGACAAACGACAAAGAAGAAGAGGAAGAAGAAAACGCCCACGTAGTCTTCTCTGGTGTATCAGTCTTACCCGGACGGTTCTGCCTCATCGTTCTCCCCATTACCAGCAGGATAAACTACCTCGTCCTTAGCCGCACCTCCAGCAAAGATCACCACGGCTTTGTCGAGCGCCTCCTGTTTCTGACGCGAAGAGATCAGTTTTCGGGGGAACAACATCACAGGCAAGGAGAACACAGCGGTTCCCAAACCGAACACCAGAAAGGCCAGCCACCAGGCGGCCACGAACCGGTCGTCTCCAGGGTCCATCTCGGTCTCTGAAAAACAATAGTGTAGTGACCACAGCATGTTGCGAAATGAAAAGAGAAAGGTTTTGAGAGTTGATGTCTAGAAGCAACACATACTACTCGTATACAGCCTCTGTCGGCTATGTGGCTAAGTCGATGCGAACGCTTCGTAATACCGGGATGCCGGGTTCGATCCTAGCTGCGGGCCATGCGCCTTGCATTGGTTTCGACAGTGGTATCAAGAAAGCCGACTGTCCAGAAAGCAATGGAAAACCACTGGACTTTATTTGCCTAGAAAAACCACACAACAGCCAGGGGTTGGTTCTGCAGCGTCCTGTAAAGGATACGCAGCTAACCTATGCAGCCTCTACATCAACAAGATAAAATGCTTCTTCTTCTTCTTTTTCAGCATTGTTAACCCTTGAGGTTCATTGCTGCACATATCACCAGCCTCCATTCCTCTCTATGTTTGGCCTTTGGCCTTCTCTTTCCAGATGAAGACATCAAATGCTTGCAGATCTCTGCCTCGTGGTCTACAACAGTTCAGCTCCCTTGTGTTTACAGTTTTCACCTCTCTGTCATCTGACATTCTTTCAATATACCCCAGACATGTCAGTCTATTAAATCTTATCACGTCAGTGATCAATGGTGATTTAAACAGATTACTAATTTATTGTTGCTTCTCACTCTCCACTTCTCGGATGTAAAGTGCATGGAATTACCAATACTTAACTTCTCAGATGCAAAGTGCATGACATTTACAATACTTATCTTCTCGGATGTAAAGTTCGTAGAGTTACCAGTACATAACTTCTCAAATGTAAAGGGCGTAACATTATCAATACTTAACCTCTCGGATGTAAAGTGCAGTACTTTTACTAGTATTTAACTTCTTGTATGTAAAGTGCACGGAATCAACAAATATCATGTTAGATTAACCTAATGTTTGTCTAATTTGCTGTTCAAGGTTTAACGAATTTATTTTTCAGTGAATACCAGAATAGGCACAGTAAAGGAAGAATCTTTAATTTAATATGAATTGTTTAAGAAAAATAAATGAAAACGAATGTTTGTAACATAGACTAAAGAATTACCCTTCAAATCTATGGGCACTTTGGTTAAAACACCATTGATCTGTTTACCGATGGGCCCTGCTAGTTCAGAGATGATCTGCCAAATTCCTGCAAAAAGTGGAATAGAATACAGCATATTAATAACATCAGGTCATTCCTTTTGGTCGGCTCTGTGGCTAAGTCGATGCAAACGCTTCGTAATGCCGGGATGCCGGGTTCGATCCCAGCTGCGGCCCATGCGCCCTGCGTTGGTTTCGACAGTGGAATCAAGAAAGCCGACCGTCCAGCAAGCAATGACAAACTACTGGAAGTAACTTTGCCTAGAAAAACCCCACATCAGTTAGGGGCTGTTGGGATTGGTTCTGCAACGTCCTGTAAAGGATACGCAACTAACCTAACCTACATTCCTTTTGCTTAGGAAAACTCAAGGTCAATGAAAGAATGGGTGAGTTAAAATATTGCTGTTCATGTCGCTTTAAATAATCATATTGCATATTGTAAAGGGAATAGTTAAAATAGAGTAGACCACTTAACAGACCAGGAAGACAGTAAAGAAAAAGTAAAGGGCCCTTTTCCTCGTCTTAAGGCGTATTAGGCGTATGTTACTATTCCATTGACCAACAAGCGGTCTGTGGGTGATGTGATCGGCATCCCGCAGGCAAGAAGACAGGGAAGGGGGAAGTAAGGTAATATTCATACTGTCCTACAAACAAAACACTTGGAGCTCCAACTGGGAAAAAAAGACAAGTCACAGACAAGATTGGAGGCTGTGACATCTGCAGCAATGAACCTAGTTGGTTCAGATTGCTGAAAAAGAAAAAAAAAAAAAAAAAGAATGTAGAACTTTAAATCTGCTTTTCTCATTAATTCTGTGGATTCAGTAAAAATCTGTGCAACTGATTCTTGATAGAGAGATATACAATTTCGTATAATTTCCAACAATTCCATGGACTCTTTATAAAAAATTAATTCACATAGATTTTATGCAAATACTTGACAAAACTGTGAGAACAGGCATGCAACCAAGACACAGACCATAGAACTGATGTCAAAAGTCACGGCTAGCTGATGGAAATATTGAGCACTTAGAGACTTCCCCTCTCCCTCACTCACTCACTCACTCACTCACTCACTCACTCACTCACTCACTCACTCACTCACTCACTCACTCACTCACTCACTCACTCACTCACTCACTCACTCACTCACTCACTCACTCACTCACTCACTCACTCACTCACTCACTCACTCACTCACTCACTCACTCACTCACTCACTCACTCACTCACTCACTCACTCACTCACATCTCACTCACTCACTCACTCACCCACTCACCCACTCACTCACTCACTCACTCACTCACTCACTCACTCACTCACTCACTCACTCACTCACTCACTCACTCACTCACTCACTCACTCACTCACTCACTCACTCACTCACTCACTCACTCACTCACTCACTCACTCACTCACTCACCTCACTCACTCACTCACTCCACTCACTCACTCACTCTCACTCACTCACTCACTCACTCACTCACTCACTCACTCACTCACTCACTCACTCACTCACTCACTCACTCACTCACTCACTCACTCACTCACTCACTCACTCGATCACCTACTCACTCACTCGCCTCTACTATCTCTCTCTCTGTCTGTCTCTCTCTCTCTCTCTTTCTCTCTCTCTCTCTGTTTTATTAAAAACAACTGGACGAATTTAGAGTTACTTAGAGTAGAGTTGAGTACAGAATTGACATCAGAGCACTAGGGTCATTCCTCATCTTGAACAGCCAGAGTAGAGTACAAATACTGATGGTACCTGACTCAATCTAGTTATATGTCTGTCTTGCCTTTCCTCTGAGTGTAATGAACCGGCCAGACCATCTGGTTACACCCAGGTGCCTCATTCTCTTCAGGCCATAAACATCTTTTTTTTTTAACTGATTCCGTTGCTTGTTCCCAAAGGGCCTTTACCACATCTGTCTTGTAATGTTTCAATTCCCACCGCACCGGCATATAGTCTGGAGAAAGTAAGATTTACCTAAAAAGACTCCCATCTTAGTCTTGTCGATGAGATTGTCGTCCATGTAGAGTGTCGGCAGGAATCCATTGTGAAACGTGTCACTGATCCCCTTAAAGGCTTGAACTGCCAGCACTACAAGGAACTGTAATTGTTTCACCTGAAAATGGTCACAAGGTAATGCATTATGTTGTTGTTATATTGTAGTCCTTGCTTAAGTTGATGTTGTTTTCAAGTGTTTACATAATTTTGTATCAGTTGATAAAACGGTTTAGTCAACGCATTAGAATGCAGCCACTACTAACACAGACGCTACACATTAAAACATTTGATGAGAAACAGAGAGCACAGAGAAACAGTGTTAGAACCACACATACTAATGGATGAAATAGAAAAAGTCATTAAACAGTCTCCCAAATATAAAGCACCAGGAGCTGATAGATTACCAACAGAAATAATTAAAACAGCAGGTGAAAGCAGCATCAGATGGCTTCACAGAATATTCAATGCAGCATGGGTACAACAAACAGCCCCTATTGATTGGCAACATGCAATAGTTATACCATTGTGGAAGAACAAAGGAAGCAAACGAGAATGCGGTCAATATCGAGGCATCTCTCTTTTAAGCCATGTTGGCAAAATGTATGCCAAGATAATAGAAACAAGACTGAGACCAGTGATAGAACCACAGCTGGCAGAAGAACAGATGGGATTTAGGAGAAAAAGAACCTGCACAGATGCAATCTTCACACTTAAACAGTTAATAGAAAAGAACATTGAATACAATAAGAACTTATTTGTGGCATTCGTAGACCAGGAGAAGGCATTTGACAGAGTCGACAGACAATTATTATGGAAAATAATGGCAAGATATGGAGTAAGCGAACACCTCATCGAAGTGTGCAAAAGTTTATACAGGGATTGTAGAAGTGTAGTTAGAATAAATCAGGGAACATCTCATCCTTTCACAGTGACATCTGGAGTAAGACAGGGGTGTGTCTTATCACCACTGCTGTTTATCACCTACATCGACAGTATATGCAAGAATGCCAAGCCCATGAATGAAGATCTTAGTAAGATCAACGAATTACTCTTTGCAGATGACCAGGCCTTGATAGCAGATACAGCCATGAAATTGCAACAACATCTAACATCCATGAATGAAGAATGTAAAACAAATAATATGAGAATCGACACTGAAAAGACAGAAGTAATGTCAATAGGAAAAAATAAGACAGATCTAAACATAACAATAGAATACAAAGGCATTAAACAGGCAGCTGAGTTTAAATATCTGGGAACTACATTTACCGAAGATGGGAAATTGGATAAAGAAATTGACATTAGATGCAGTAAAGCAAACCAAGTATTGGGACAGCTAGCCCCCCTCTTACAGCATAAGACAATCCCAATCAGCACAAAGAGACATCTTATTCAAAGCATATTTATTCCAACTCTGTGCTACCAGTGCCAGACATGGTCACTCACAACAAACCATAAAAGAAAATTAGTAACCACGGGAAATGAGATGTCTGAGAAGGGCTGTAGGAGTGACCATAAGAGATAAGATCAGAAATGAGATCATAAGAGAACAAAAGTCGGCACAGAACCAATTCTGGATTACATACAAAGACAGCAAGTGAAATGGTTTGCCCACTTAGAGAGAAAGCCTTGTGACACCATACCATACAAAGCATACATGGACAGAGAAGAAGGACGTAGAGCACGGGGTAGACCAAGAACAAGATGGAAGGATAACATCAGAGAAACTCTACAACAGCACGATGTGCCTATGGTCGAGGCAGCCAGAAGAGCTAGAAACAGAACCTTATATCTCCCTCGACACCCACAGCGGTAAAAGAGGAAGTGAAGAAGAAGAGAAGAAGAAGAAGAAGAAGAAGAAGAAGAAGATGAGAAACCAAGAGGCAGCCCTAGAAGAATATGGGTTGATGACATTAAAGACTTTCTACGTCGATATGGAATGCCAATAGCCTTTGAGATACCGGTTCGAATCCTAGGAAACGCTTAGGATTTTTTTTTTCTGCTCACCCCCAACTCTCTGTTACACATTTCCGTCACCACACCTTGCCTTCTCTTCTCTCATACTCTTATAGCACCCCTTCCCATTTTTTGTAATCATACACATTTTCTCGATCCTCTCCTCTCCAGTTATCTCCCGGTGGCCTCAGTCTCCCAATCTGTCTGTCACAAACTCTTCACCTTTTATCTGCCACTTCCTAAACTTCTTCCTTTCCATCTCTGTCTCGCCCCTCTACAACCTAGCCACCCAGCCCCCTTCCACTTCCCCAAAAAACACACACACATACACACAAATAAACATTGTCTCTGAATTTCTCTCTACTTCTGTTTAACACCCCTCCTCCCCCTCATCTCTTTATTTTTCAAAAACATGCTCTTAAAATCTTTGAGTTTTTTTTTTCGTCTCTGTCAAATTCACTTACTTCTTTTGCAAGCTTTCTCTGGCCAACTCTTTCAGACCCTTTCGCTACTCTCTCTCTATTTTTCTTCTTCATCTTCTTTTCTTCTTCTTCTTCTTCTTCTTCTTCTTCTTCTTCTTCTTCTTCTTCTTCTTCTTCTTCTTCTTCTTCTTCTTCTTCTTCTTCTTCTTCTTCTTCTTCTTCTTCTTCTTCTTCTTCTTCTTCTTCTCGCTCTTCATAATTACTTTTAGCCAAACAGGATTCTCTTTCTAGTTTCTAACACGTTCAACCCTTGCTAAGAACAGCTTCGATTATAACTGGTGTTTTGTTTTATGTGCGCCAATTCAAAGGCTTAATTGGTTTGTTGTGCCGATAGTTGGGGTTTCTGTTATTCTCTTTGTCCTCTTCGTACAAGCCTAGAACCACATAAACACCTGTGTCACCTACCTCCGCTGTGGTTGTGTTGGTGGCGATGCTGCTGTTGTTTCCACTAACAGGGGTATTACAGAGGTACTTTGCATTCTCACCAAAGTCGGTCAAGTTACTAGAGTTATCGTGCTTCGAAGATGGCCTGGGATTAAGAAGACAAGTTCAGTGTTTACAATAGTCAGATATACACCATAAAATCTTCAGTAGTAAACACACAGGTATGATACACGGTAATACAATTTTCCTCTAGTGTAGGATTAGGAAAATATTTCATATATTAACTACTCTTGTAAGGTATCCATTGTCGAGGTAGTCAGCTTTGGCGAACGGGTCACCCATTGACTGGCTGGTAGACGACTTCGTCGCCAGTCAGGACAGTGTTTGGGTCCGTTCAAAGCTACCCGGTGGCTAGCAATACTAAGCCATATTACATGGCACACATAACGTAGTCACAATTATAACCTATAGCGCCCCCTTAGGGGACGCTGGTTAAACATGAAGATTTTTTTTTTCGCAAAGCAAGCAAAAACTATGTGACCAGACGAGCAAAAAGCAGAAATTTACTTCTCCTTCTGTCGGTAAAAAAAAGAAATGAAGAAGAATCAACAATTGTGATTAACACGGAACAACATTTCCTTCAGTAAAAAGACCTTCTAACACTCTAGGGATGAGTTGAGTATTCGCTGTTAGACCCACCTGTTTGTTTACATTTTCCAACAGGCACTTGATTGGTGAATTTATTAACATAACACTGACTGTCTTTACCTTAAAGAACATTTCTTAGAACCCATTTCAGTCCAGGTGGAATAAGGAAGATTTATTATATTTATAACACGACACTTGTTTAATCGTACCTTTTCTACTATACTCACGGGACATCTTATCTTCGCTATTATTTGAGAAGGCTCAGCATCCATTATCACTACCCAAGTGTTTAGGTGGAGGTAAATTGAGTGCGATATCACGAAAACTAATGACTATAGTAAAACTGCACAGCCATAAATCTTGTGTAATGGTGCTTGTCGCTTCTATAAGTACTCTTCCATGGCAATGATCTCAAA